GTAGTAGTAGTAGTAGTAGTAGTAGTAGTAGTAGTAGTAGTAGTAGTAGTAGTAGTAGTAGTTTCATGATTAGCATTATTATCATCATTAGAACTATCATTATTACTCAAAATGCTAACGTCAGCGTTTCATTGGTTAATGACATGATATAATTATACTATTATTTATAGTTATGTTCATTCTTCCATGCTTTTTCGTTATTTTAGACCTTATTGCTTTCGTTGTTTCAAGTCCAAAACACTTGGTATAACAGCCAGCCGTGTCTTTACCCTGCCACCTTCCCCTCTTTCAGACCTACATATTTGCTTGTCGTAACTCTCGACAATAACAGTGGCGTCTGTGGTTTAGCGGTTTGCCGTTACTCACAGAGAACGTGAGTTCGATCTCCGCCCGAAGATAAAAAAAAAAGGAGTGTCTCCATATTATGTCTGCTGGAATTCTGTATCTCTCTAAGTCCGGGCAGAACTTGACAGCAAAATCGAAACAGGCCACCTCCAAAAATGATTGAATCGTGTTGGTGAAGGTATAAAACATTTGCTATTAATACATTTTTTTCGACCAATGACTGAGCTCCTACACACAAGCTAGATATTGTTCTGACATGTTTTCTCATAACCTATAATCTTACGTCTATAATATTCTGAAAGTAAAACACATAGTGCATTATATTTGACACTCTAGACAATGGGGAGTGTGGCTGTTATGGACAGGTTACCGCTATGAATACAGTCGACTTATGATAATTAAACTCAACGAAGTGAACGGAGGATTTATAATCTGAATTCTTAGTTTTGTCTTTTCATTTTATTTCCTTCAAAGCTATTGACTAGTATGAGAGCTTCTTTGCATTGAATGATCGTACATACTCACCCTGGTAATAGGATTTCTGAAAACATTTTTAGTAAGTGACCGCAATGAGCCGGTTGTGAGCCAGACTTAAAATGACAGTGTAGAGAAAAACAACAACAGCGACAAACAATCCAATGCAGGGTATCAAAGAACAGCGGCCGTCAGTGAAGGTAACCGCTTATGAGAGGTGTCTGAGAGCTAAGAAAATCTTTTACTATTGTCCATCATTATATCCAATATCCCCTCCCCCCGCCCCCTATACACACAGGAGCAGGGGGGTGATTTGGGGGGGGGGTGCTCAAGATTTCAGACACAGAATCTCTGTAATATGTACAGCAACAAGAGAAGAAGAAGAAGAAGAAGAAGAAGAAGAAGAAGAAGAAGAAGAAGAAGAAGAAGAAGAAGAAGAAGAAC